GTTTTGTACTTCTCTGTTAGCTCGCTGCTATCCCTCCAATTCTCACTTCTCCGTTCTGGATGTGTTTCTGCGTGGCGCCCACCCAAGGTTGTTCCTACAACATGTTGTTCTCTGAGATTCATTGCCATAAGCAGCAGTGATGCGCTCTCTGGAAGACATGCCAAGACTGCTGGATGTGGTCCAGAACGAGGGGCAAAAAGGAGGGGAAGGAAGGAAAAGAGAAGCTCGAGCCAGATCTCGTGATTTTGTTTACTCTGAGTCAAAGATTTATTTGAATTGAGGGTGCTAAGTAATTACTGAGTGTCTTGAATCAGCTTAGGAATGTCTCGACAAATCCCCAAACGTTCACTTCTTGCCACCACCCAGACGTGACTGAAGGACATGAATGTTAACGACATGTTTGGTGCAGAGAGCTCAGCAATAAAAGTCTACTCCTAAATAAAACTTTCTGTGATCATGGAGCATTTACACAGATCATTCTCTACATGCGCCTTTTTTGTTCTGACAAAACAAGGATTAAATCAAATGAAGACATTCAGCTTGTAAAACAAGACAATTGAAAAACTACAGATATTTTTTAGAGTATAAGTGTCATAACCTGGTTTCATCCTAATATACTCATAGGTGTAAAAAGCTTTCAGAGATCTGAGATTTGAATGTACTGCAGTGTGGGCCCATGAGTATTTGACAGCGAGGTAACACTTTATTTTCTGCATAAACCTGATCAAAACGTTGTCACTGTATCTGAAAGCAGAGCACATGGTTATGAGCTGCAATAGGCAACATTAGTGCTCATGTGTATGTTACAAATACAAATTTAGCATGCACCTTTCTGTTTTTTGCAAATGAAGTACAGCAGCATCAATAGCTTTTACACGGCACCAAACAGAAAGTAACTCCAGGCAGTGATGGTTCATGCAGAACATCAGAACATTTAGTTCAGTTTATAACACATGGAACATGCAGGAAACACTTTTCTTAGATTTGATGTCAGATATTAGACACGAGCTGCAAGTCTTGTTGAAGATTTTATGTGTTTTTAAAGCTACAAATAAACATGAAACACTAAGGAAGTCTTATGATATTCCTCAAAAAACGTCTATGGTTCCCCTTTTTACACATTTCATTGAGTTTTGAAGCTTGCAGAGGTCCGATATGAGCAGGGATTATGGTGTAGAATGGTGTTCTGCTTAATAATATGCAAAAGTTATATTTTCTGTAAACAAGTTCATTGTCCTGAATCTGCAGCATTAGTACCTGAAACAGGGCAAAGGAAGCATTAGCCAAATAGATAATCAGCCGCAATGCATTTCCAAGGTTAAAGTGGACTGGACAAAGACTGTTTATTCTGTATAAAGAAAGAAAAGGATAACGAAAAACTATTCCAGAAATGTGGCGCTCAAGGTGGCTGCACGCTGGAGTAGCTGTCTGACATTCATTCTGAGATTTAGCTTTTGAAAACTTTAATTACGCTTTTTAAAGGATGTAAATCGATTTTTTTCAGATGATTACTTTCTCTGGTATCGGATGATGTGCTGCTGGAAGGATTTTTACTGAAACCTTTTTTTTTTTCACCTTTGGACATTTGTTATGATGCGTAACTATAACAACAGGCTGGTTTTCTACAACTGGGAGCTGCTGAATAACATCTCAAAAGCTCAAATAATATCTCAACTACAGCCCCAAATCCTAAATGAGTTGAAAAGGAGGTGCTGTGGATGCATTACCATCTACTTGGAGACAGTGCTCGAGTGCCTGACTGCTGAGATCTTGTAGGTAGCGGGTAATGTGGCTCGTGACAGCGGGATGACTGAGATCGTCCCCTCGGCACCTGCAGTTAAGTCCGCGGTGACGAGGGGCTCGGCAGGATGCTGGATAAAATGGCCATAGCTAGAGGGAGGAGCCTGTCATTCAGGCAGTCCTGCTGCCCAAGAGGACCAAGAGATCTGCTGGGTCTGGGTGTACAGATTGGCATCTGCAGCCAGTTTCTTCAGATCCGCTGTGGGAAGGACTGCAACAAGAGATCCTTCTAGCTATCAGCAACAATGAAACCAGGATGATGAGTTACAACAACAATTAATTTCCCTTTGGGATTAATAAAGTATTTTTGAATTGAATTGAATTTATCTACTAAATAAAATAAATAATAATATGGGGGAAAAAAAAATCATAATTTCTCCATGGAAATGTCTGTTTTTTTTATCATCTCGTTAGCTGATTTTCTTTGTCACCCAATTTTCATGGTCAAACACGCACGCACACACACACACACACACACACACAAATAAATAAATAAAAATAAAAAGCTTCCCCCCCCCCATCTTTTTTTTTTTTTGTTTAGTCAACAAACAGAAAATCAGGGTTAAACACAAATTCCATGTTGGATTAAACTTCTGAAATCAAACAACCTTTAATTCAACATCAGCAAGCCTCCCGTTTCTGCTTCATTCAGTCCAGATGCTCACCCATTCCATCACACCACACATGCACGCACGCGCGCACACATGCATGTGTGTGTGTTTTTGTTTCAAGTTACCTTGAAGGGACCAATTTTACAAAAAAAAAATAAAAAAAAAATCATGCACTGTGGGAACCAACTGCTCATATGGGGACCAATGCCAGGTCCCCATAAGGCGAAGTCTCGTTGTGGTGTTAGGGGTTAGGTTTAGGACTAAGGTGTGGATTGTGGATGGGTTAGTGTTAGGGTTAGGTATGTACTAGTAATGGTTAGGTTTAGGCTAAGGATCAAGGTTAAGCTATAGAAAATGAATGGAAAGCAATGCAAAGCCCCCAAAAAGTACGTTTACAAGAACAAACACACACGCACACACACGCACACAAGAGTGAAACGTGGGAACATCACAGTCTAGAGATAATGAGCTGAAACACGCCCCCCCGTGGCCTCAACGTGAACTCACAGGAAGCACTCTGACGTCGAGGAGCACAGAAGGGGAGTTAAGAGGGTGTGGAAGGTGTGTGTGTGTGTGTGCGCGCGTGCGTGTGTGGGGTGGGTGGGGGTGGTGACTTTAGCAGAGTTTTTTTTTAGGGGTTTTGGGACTGATCATACACGAATACATAAAACTAAAGAAATTTGCTGAGCTTCTTTTAGTTCTAATTGGCACCGGCTATTGGTCGCACAGCAACACAATTGTGATGACCCTTACCCCCCCCCCCCCCCCCCACAACACTAAACTAAACAATAAAACATAAGGTGGCAAAAATAAAAAGATGAGCTGCACTCCATCCTGTGGCACCAGGAGTGGAGAGAGGGAAGCGCAGAGCTGGGAGCCGCGCTGCGCTTTTTCTTTTCCCACTGACAACCTGTTCAGTGCGGAGCTGTGAAGCCTGAGCGCACCCCCCTCCCTCCCCTCCCGCCTCTCTCTCTCCCTCTCTCTCGCGTGCGCGCAGACATGGGCGGTCGTTCTCAGTCTGCGCACATTCCACTTGGCCAGCATCTCTCGGACTCCACAGACACAGCGTTGATTGAAGCCGCGGAGTGGGGGTGGGGGTGGGGAGCGCATCATCCACAGGGGGCTCGACTGCACTGTCCCCCCAGCCGGAAGCGAAGAGGGACGTCCAGTAAAGACACTTCAATCTCATATTTTACACACACACACAAAAAGCCTCAAACAAAGAAGGATGAGCATTCTTTTCTTCCTCTCAAACACTTGATGAGTTGGGTTTTTTTTTGTTTTTTTTTAAAAAGGAGTGAAGTCTTTTTTGTTTTTTTTCTTCTTCCATCTTTGCGGAGGGGGCTCAGAGGAACTGAGACTCCACACTTTGCGCCTGCTACTTATATATTAAAAAGTTTTAGAGGGAATTCTTTCCGAGGTCTTGGAGCGTCATATCTCATCTACTCCCAAGGATTTTTTTTTGTTTCTGAAGACTGTCAGGAAGAGGATTGAAAAAGTTTTCAACTGGTGTTTGTGTAGATGCGCCGGGAGCGGAGGGATTCTCCCGGCTGAGCGGAGAGAGCGCAGCGCCTCCGGAGACAAGGTAGATCCGACCCATGAGCTGCTTTCTATCCAGAACACAGTCATTCACACACGAGCCTTCTACTCTGTGTCCCTTTGCCTGGAAACATAAAAAAAAGAAAGTGAATCCATTCGTGCGCGAGTTACAGCAAACATTGTCAAAGTTGACCCGTGCGCATCAACAGCTCCGATCAAACAGTGGGAGCTCTGGTCCTTTCATCCGCTGCCGTTTATTCCCATCGATAACACGAGGACATACATGTCAGCAGCTGCTCTCGTTAATTCTCGTGCGTCACGATGAAACTTTCATCGCGGCGCGCGCTTCATCACGCAACCCGCCGATTGACTCCGGGCGCGCACATGCACACACACAGACACATGTGTTTGGAAAAAAAAAAAGTGTGGACCCCCCACCCCCACCCCACCTCTCTCCCCCACCCCACCTCTCTCCCCCACATGTCATTCCTGGTTTTCCTCCTGAACCTAAAACGCGCTCACTGAAACCACCACCATGTGATGTTACAACTTAATATAAAGATGATGAGATATAATTTTTAAACTATTTATTTCAGATATATTCATTTCTTGGGGATCAGATTCGTTTTTCACTGCAGGGTCTGAAGTCCTGGACCCTCCACTTATAATCTTCAGTGAAGGCTGCAGTTTAATCCCTATAGTTGCCCCCTCCCTGTCTGGACTACACCTGATAGCTCAGCCAGAAAGGGGACAAGCATTTTTTTTTTTTTTTTTTTACATTATTATTCAGGCTGAACAACAGACCTCTCCAATCCTGTCAATCTCCAATTCTCTAACACGCAGCCTGGCTTGTAAGCTTTGTCTAATCCACGGTGTCGTGATTGAATTACCCGCCCTTTAAACTGAATGAGGAGATGTTGGAGGCAGAATTGCTCCATAGCATTATTCTCACGGGTTGTGAGACAAACTGTTGGATATAAAACCACAATTTATGTTATGCCTTTTTTTATTATTTTTACAGCGTGTCAGAGGTTGCCGCCTTCACATCTCCATGATCCTCTGTCTTCTCTGTTTGCAGGTTATGAGGGAACTGAGCTGAACATGGAGTTTATCTGGTTCTTGCTTTTCTCCAGTGTCCATCAGCTTGTCTGTGGCCAAGGAGTTTACGGTAAGAACATCATGCAAACATGTTTTAAGCTCATTCTGTACGTTGGAAGCTCAAGACTAAACTTGTTTTTGGATTTTAAACTAGACTAGATGGACTGATCATCTGACAAAATAGATATTTCTTAGAAAGCACCTCTGAAAACATCCAATGATGTATTATAGTGGGAGGGAAAACCTCACAAAGTGATTTTTTAAGAATTAATTCCACCTAAAGGTGTGAGATATTGACATATATTGTGACTGTAAGTTTATTATTATTTTTGTTTTGAATTGAACATTTGGTAATAAGCCTCTCTTATCTCAGGGTCCCATGCATTCTGAATCGGCTGCACTCTCAGAGGGTTTAAACTTGGATCAGAGTGGCAGAGCTCTCGGGGACTGCGGCTTGTCTCTGTCAGGTTAAACAGGACAGCCACTCTGTGCTTTTGAGGATAAGGCTGAGATTTGTACCCTCTTAAGCCCACAGTCTCACTGTATTACAGCAGCTCAGTTTCTTGAGCTGCAGGCGCCTGGCCAGACATGCATCCTTCCCTGTCCCTTCGGGCGAGGCAGACACAAACTCATCTGTCTGCTTTGATACTTTGATTTTGACGTTTTGAGGAATGTGGCAGCCATTGAAAACAGGCTCTGTTCAGTCAAAGCTGCACAGAGCGCGGTTGTCACATGCAATCCTGCAGCCTGCCGTCACACTGCAAGATTATGACAAGCTTTCATTTGCTGGAGCTTGTAGGCCTGTGTAAAAGTCCTTGCTAACTAATCAGACTTGTATTACTCTGATGCTTCACAGCGCTGTCGGCATATCAATAATAGTGTAAACTATGACCAGCTCACAGCAACAGTTTAGTCATCTTTTTCAAATCCTGATCAATTTGATGTTACATTCTTTAAGCATTTTTTTCATTCAGAATGTTGAGTTTTCTTCTTTCTGTCAGTTATGTAAAGTATAGTGTCTATGTGAAGTGACACAGCCATATGGAATCTCCAAAAATGCTTGTCATCACTTTTACCTTTAATCAGTTTTAAATGTCACACTTTGCTGCAGAATAATTAAAAAGAAGAAAAAAAAAAACTCGTCTAAGTTTTACTTTCATCTCATAAACAGCTTCAAATGCATTTACACAGAGCCTTGTAAATCAAATGTTTTAAGGATTAAAAGAAAACCATTTTTCGTGTACTGCTACCAGCTGTAATGTAGTTCAGTTAGACATTTCTGTTGGGTTGTCCTTATATCTGTTGTATACAGTGGTACTTCATTTATCGCAGGGGATCCGCACCATGAAAACCCGCGATAAGTGAAAAATCGCAAAGTAGTGATAGCAGTACAAGTAGTAAGCAGTAGTATAAATAAAGGCATTTTAAACCCTTCCCAAACTCTTGCAATGTTCTAACCCAGGGGTCTGCAACCTGTACGATCAAAAGAGCCATTTCTGCCCCTTTGTTCACTAAATTAAACGTGTCCGGAGCCACAATACCTGCTACAACTGGGATTCTCAACTGGTGGCCCACGGACCACTTTAATTTTGTCGGAGGGTGCTTTTCTGGACAGTAGGGGTGATTTTATAAAACTAAAAATATCTAATTTTATTTTATTTTTTTAACATTTATTGTTTTTTTTTTTTTACATTCTAAGACAAAATAAAAGACCTGATTCTTGTAAAGAAGGAAAACAAAACTAGTTTTTGCCCAGTTTCTAAAAACTAAAACAACAAAACTATGCCGCCTTATGTGATTATTATTATTATTTTTTAATTCTAGAAAACACGTATCCTACTTTGAAGAAATAAAGCGTAAAGTGAAAGTGAGTTTGTTTTACTCCTTGTAATGTTTCTAGTATTTATATGTTTGCAAAATAAATGACAGGAAAACTGTTAAAACTAGCCCTTTTAGTTGTTGTAACAAGCAATAAAATTCACTTTTATGTCAGTTTTGGTCAAAGCTTGAAAGAGCCGCTGCAGGGGGACCAAACAGCCGCATGTGGCTCCAGATCCTCAGGTTGCAGACCCCTCTTCTAAACAATGTTTCTAAACTCTAAACACTCTAAACGAGAACAGAACATCATGATTTCAGCTCCCTGCCTCTTCTGCTCTTTGCCACCTGCAAGTGCTTTTGGCCACGCCCACTTCTCCACTCTACAGGAGAACAGCTGATCAGCTGCAGCAGGAAGTTTATCCTGCAGTATGGGCTGCACAAAGGTCCAGGAGGAAGCTTTTTCTGCAGCTCCAGGCTGCACAAATGTGCTAAATATTTTTAGATGATTTATTTTGAATAAAAATTCCCTGCCGATTGTGTGACTCATCCATCAATCAGCCAATTGTGTGTCATGTCCAATTTTATTTTGAAAAACCCCGATAGAGTGAGTCTGCAATAAACGAACTGTGAAGTAGCGAGGGACTACTGTAATCTTCTGCTTTCTTGACCTGGTCTAGTCTTCCTCATAGCTGAATCAGTTGTAGAGTTGTTTTGGGCATACTCCTACAAATAAACAACAGGTCAGAAAAAGATGCACAAGGTGCTGGGTTATGCATGTAAGCATGTATGTATGTATGTATAATTTTTTAGGATCCTTTGTGCACCTGGGCGCTCTCAGTCATTGCCGATGTAAGAAAAGCCCCAGGGCTTTGTGAAAAAGTATTGGCCAGCTTTCACAAACTCCCAGGTGGACCATATAGGGGTGTTGGTGCTCAGCTGCACAAAACAGTTTCATGTACACAGGTAATCGTACATCTCCAAAAAGGTTGTCTCATACAGAGCTAACTGTCAGAATTTGCACAACAGCAGTACACATCACAAGTTAGGAGGAACGGGAAAGGAGCCAACGAGTTTGGCACGCTGCAGGCACATATGCATAAAATGGTTTCCATCACTTTGGAATTGTTTAGCACTTGTTTCGGCAGACAGATGCGACTCAGCGTCCATCGGGAGCCCAATGATGAAGTATGCCTGATTGATGTCAGCGGTTTGGACGCCTGCGAGGTTCATTTGCTGTAGCCTTCTCCGGGGCATGTTTGGATGCTTGTGTTTTAGTCAGCCCATGCCCGCATGAGTCTGCGCATGCAGGTGTTTGTGTATCAGAGTGTGGGAAGCGTCCAAGCCCGTAAAGCTCTAAGTCTTGTACGTGTGCGCAGGCGTGAGTGGGTCGTGTTTGTTCACAGCAGACACACTTTTCTTCTCTTTGCAACAGTTTGCTGGCTCAGCAGGGACTTGTGGATCGGTCCCCGTTTCTCCCGCAGCAGTTTAGTATTGATTGCACCTCTGTGAATTCAGATAGGCTGTCACGAAGCTTGTAACACCTGTCTGTCAGATTGCAAAGGGATATACCAAAGAAACACAATGCTGCATTTCAAAGGGGGAAAAATCAACACACCGTATGTTTTCTTAAGGCAAGCTTTAAGCTTAACAAGATCATCCATGGTGCATCTTGTTTATTGCAGTCTTCTTTCTGCTGCTCTGTTTTCTCCCAAGGGATTAGCTTTTCATATGTTTCTCCACACATTAATCACAAACATCATTGAACACATATAAAGAGATTTTCAAATTCCATCTAATCCAAGTGTACTGGAGTCTTCAGGCATTCCATGTTGGATGTGACGTGCTCTTATGCACTAAATTCAACACACTTAAGGAGCAAATGTCAAGATAATCTTGCATGATGTTCAACTTCCACTGAGGGACTGAGCACAGACAGATTGCACCCGGAGAAAGTGTCTCTCCATCTATGTGGCACTGAATCACGTCTCACTGTGTGAGGCAGTAAAGTTCACTCAGACACCAAATTATTGATTGCTTGACAAAGTCACACAGCACCATTAGCTGGTGCTCTAGATGGAATCCAGACTGCATTAGCCTGCAATACGATGCTTCATTATGGGCTTGTTAACAGGAAATTTAATGAACTTAAATCAATGGCGTTTCTTTAACAGTGGATTTTTTTCCCCCCTTCTTTTTAATTTGAAAAGCGCCCCAGCAGCACAAGCTGAGAAGGAGAGGCCTTGCCATCGGCTATAGAACAAAACACTATAAGTGATGCAGAAAGTGAAAAAGTTTAATATACCTAAATAGTGCACAAATTTAACATCACTTTGAAGATGTTGCCCAAGGAAGTATAAAAAAAAACCCTGGGAATCATTTCCCAGATTTTTTATTTGTGTGTGTGTGTTTGTGTGAGGTTGCATCCTACTTTATAGTTTTGCACACAGAGGAAAATGAAGAGCATCTACTTGAGAAATAAGTTTGAATTTGAAACACTTCACTTCAGAATTTACGTGTAATAAAACTGTACATGCCTGATAATACGCAGAAATTTCACTCACTACTCTTTTCTCCACTCATGTCAGTTCAAGGGAAGTAAAGTGGCACTGGTGACCAACATTTCCAGAACTAAATGTAATCCTCTGCTGGCACACATGTTGCCATGCCAACATACCTGTTTTGATGTGGAGGACAGCAAAACACAATCAGTTCAGTGTGTTCTTTACTTGCTGTTCAATAGCCAAACTTGAATAGAGCTGAAATCAAAAAGGGGAATGTGTCTGTTTAAAATTGATGTTACAACACACAGCCTGACAATATCATTATTGCTCTATATTTTATCATATCAGATTTTTTTTCAACCTGAGCAATAATCTTGGCGTATTAAACAGAATATGAAATTATGACATTAGCTCCGACCTTTATAAAATGCAGCATCAAAGTCAGCAAACAGAAGTTGCAATTATGAGTCTCTTTTATTAAAAGCACTTTCTATTAAGATTACGTTAGTTGTAATACCACCGATGTAACAGACTCAAATGCTCCCTCCACCTTGGCTGCGATTACACAGCCTTAATGTCGGTGACCTAGAAAGAAATTGTTCCAGGTTTAACTGGTCCGGCCACTGGCTCCCCTGCGACTTCAACTCTTCCTAACCGCATATCAGCACTTTTTGTTTGTGTCTCTTTTATGTCTTTTGCCACTGCGTTTATTTGGGATGCTGAATATTGCCCTTTTCTAATAAGCATCCAT